AGCAGTTTCTCCAGGGTACAATGCAGCGTTACCCAGGCGTAGCCGAATTAAGTCTGAACTCTTAGGGGAAAATATATCACGCTGGATCTGACAGGTCGAGAAAGGCAAGGCTGCTGCAGCTCCATGCCCCAGGTCCAACCAGTAGTGAGGCTGAAGATGTATTCCTAGCAGGCACGTATACACAACACACGCATGTACAACACATATATATGCATATATACATGGCCAGCCACACAGATCACAGACAGACACACAGAGCACTCCCACAAACAAAACAGCACCAACAGCCTCATCCTGCTCCCCTCCCTGGCAGAGCAGCATGGAGGTCCACTAGTGAGAATACATATCTGTGTAGACATATATACAGCGTGGGTCCTTCCATCAGCTGGGCTCATATACTCAGTCTACCCAGTAGCTGCCCCTGGATCCTAGTCTCCTCCGTTGCTGGCACCTGGACATACAAGCCTCCAGTGTTGACCCATGGTGATTGGGTTTCACGCCTGGACAGTGGGGCTGAGGCTCTTCTGGGACAGCCCTGGGAGAGGCCTGGATGTGGCGTCCCTTCTTCTGAGCCCTTAATTTGGGTTGTCACCTGTGTTTGTGCCCCTGTGCTCCTCTGGGCTTGTGGATATGGGCCTTTGAAAGGCTGATGGCTTCTGCAATAGTCCTTGAAGCAGCCAGGGCCAGGATATTATTTGGGCTCTCCCACCCGCCACCGTCTCTCTGTGCTCCTTTGCGAATAGGCAGATGAGTTTTATCACATAATTTAATGTGAACAAGCTAGTTTGCACAATGGTAACATCACAGCAGTGCTCCTATATTGCTCTGTGCTAGCTACCTTGGCTTCCAGCATGTCAGCTACCTCAGCCAGCTGGGGCTGTGCATTTCTGAAGCCTGCTCCATCTTACTGTGCAATACTCCTTGTAAGCTGCCCACATGAGCACACGCAGACACCCCACCATTGTTGCCTGGACAGTTATTTGAAGCTCTTGCATGTTCAGGAATGCAGAGTCACACTGCGGCACGAAGGTTAGTTTCCTGCTTCTATGAAGGTTTTGTTCTTTCATGGTTGGTTTTAGTCTTCCTGCTAGAACCAAGTTCTTTATTAAACTGGTTCTTTTATAGATGTCAAGCAGAGTCTTACCTAAGAATAGACATAGCCCTTTAAGCTTGTACCTGATCTTTTCGCAAAAGATAAATGTGGTGCAACATAGATCTTTTACCTACTGCTTCCTCTCTGTCATGAAGGTGCATTTCACTATGCTTGGTTATAACCAGAACTGACATTTAATTTTTTGGCAGACTTGGAGGGGGGTAGTGCATGGTAATAGTGTCTTTGGTCTTTATAGTGGTGTTTTCACCATTTTAAGCATTGTAATATTCATTTTGAAACCTCTGTGCTCATGAGAAATGAGGTAACAGTGGATAGTTTTGCCTAAGCAACACTGGTTTTATTCTCTCCTTCAGTAAATGACAGCGTTAGAAGTGGCAGCAATACAAAATCTCATTATACTCTATTGAACTAAACAGCAATATCTTCAGAAGAATATTTTGTGAACTAGCAAGTATTACAAGGCATTTCCTAGGAGCAGAACTACGTAGCACAGTAATACTGAAGCAGTGTGCATATGGACATATGCCAGTGTGAACCATTTAACTTTGCCTTTCTTTTAGGGTTCATTTCAAACAAAGTAGGATTTTTGTGTTTAAAACACAAAACTGTTTTAAACATTTTTTTCACATAATATTTCATTCCATCAAACAAAGGAAAAAAGCCTCCATATTATCTTCGACAGTCTTCTGTCATAATAGTCCAAAACGCTTTTGGAGATTTATTGATGTAACTTTATAGTACTTCAAACCAGTAGTGGAAAATACAGCACTGCTTTAAGATGAGGAAATAACATTGTTTTAGTTAGCATTCAGCAAGTGCTCTTTTCTGACAAGGAATATGGCAGAATTACAGTACAGGGAGAACAAGTCTTGCGTTGATCATTGAAAGTAATGGATCATTGAACTCCTACATTAATCTGCCCCTCTGGTGTCCCATACATTATAAAGATTCAAGCATGTTGCAGATTGCCTGCCTGCCATACAACTAGAATGTGAGAGATTTACAGGGTAAATTACTATTGACATACACCAGGTCACTGAGACTGAACAAGAATTGCTGTATTCAGCTTACTGCAAACATCAGCTTTGCCTTTCCACGTCTTCAATCTTCCTGAGGCTAAAGTTCTTTACAAGGACAATGGTTTGTGTTTTGGATTAATCAGAAGCCTCAGTCATTTGAAAGGTCATGTATGCAAGGAACAGCAAAATCTCTTTTTTAACTGACCTGTGTGTTGGCTTTTGTGGAGAATTCTGGAAAACAAAATCTATAGAAGCCGTTAGTGGAAATGTATGTCTAAAAGAAAACATAACAGTGATAAGCCTATTATATTCTTTGAATCCAAGCTCCTACTGATGTAGGGTTGGGTGGGGATACATTTGACTGATTTTCATAGTCAGTCATTTCTATTTTTGCACTACAGAGTCTTTTGCAAAACGTAAGCCTTTGAATTGTTATGAAGGACAAGATCTCTTCTCTTGTTGCTTAAAAAATTCTGTATACCTAGAAGATGAGACATAAGCAAAGCAGATAAAAAAGTCTAAGAATAAAATAAGTCACTTTGGTAATGAGAAGCATTTGAATGCACAAGTTCATAGTTCATAGAATGAAAAATCACATCTGGCTGCAGTAGAATGAAGGGTGTTACATTCTTAAGCAAAGAAACTCATGTAAGGCTCTGGATCAAAACCAAGACTGAATGAATACTCTTTACACTGATACGATGATATTTCTTCAGGTTGTATTTCTTAATTCAATTTCTTATATTTCACCTTTGAAGAATATGCAAGTAATTCCTTCTGTAAAGCTTAATATTTTTACTGTATACTTTGCTTTTGAAA